CAATAGCTGGGTTAACAGATTACCGGGGGGTCAGGGACTGGCATGGTCCAGGATCAGTCTCCAGCACCCAAGAACCTTGAGAAAACCCATCAAAAATAAAAGGGGAGATGTACTACCAAAACAATTTGTTTATGAAGTGAGAAAGAGAGTATCTGGCTAAAGAACTGTTGGATCACTAAAGACAACCTGCAGGACTGGGGAAGGACCACCAGGGTCACCAAGCCCGATCCCTTGAAGATTGGAGTCTTCATCACCATGTCACCTCCAAGCCAACCTTCAAAAAGCTCAATGCATCAAAAAAAAAAAAAAGAAGAAAAAAGGTGTCCCTCCTCCCAAGCAGAGGTTCAATTTGCAATCTCTCCAAAATACTTGTTGCCAACACACCAAATATTTACACTTACACCAGTATGAATTGCAACATATGCATAACAAGGAATGTTAGGTTTCCTAAATTCATCAACTTAAAAAAAAAAATTAAAATTAAAATCTTCACTTCCCCCCCTCCTCCTCATCATTTACAGGTCTATGCCCTTGGGATTACGGTTCACTTCTCTCTCAGCCTCACTGGCTTGAGAGAGACTAAATGAAATCCTGACATACAGCAGCAACTGGAGTTAAAACAGAAATTATTTGGGCATATTGTTGTGGGAAAGCAGCAGGGAACCACATCCCCGACCATCACGGTGCCTGTCGAGATGATAACGAGCGTGCTGCGCTCCATTTTTGTGTCTGAAGAATTAAAATCACAACTGTTGTAACATCTCTCCCTCGAGGGGAACAGTACTGTGAAAAAAACATCAGTCAGAGCCAAAACTACTCTTAAAATCTGGTCATTTGAAAGAAAAGTAAGCACACAGCACCTTCGAGATGGTGGTATTGGGGATATCGGACTCTGACGGGGCCAAGCCATCCTCAGGCTGATGGGATTTATCCTCAGGTAGAGACTGTTTGAGTTGGAATGCCCAAAATTTAACTCCTTATTTGTTCATCTTCTGAAATCGTTGCACTAATTAAATAATGAGCTAGTATCAAAAAAAAAAAAAAAAAAAAGTGCTAAATCACAATTGAATATACTTTACAAAAAAAAAAAAAAAAAACCACCCAAAAAACAACAAACCAACCAAACCCCAACCCTTCAGGGCATAACTGCATTTAAAAAGGAGACGACAGGTGCACCAGAGGCTGGAGAAGGGAGTCGTCTCCAGGAATTCAGTGCGTAAATGGGAAGAAATTGTGTCCTTGCCATAGAAATGTCAAGTATTGCGATGCACCAGTTCTCTGTAGGGGAAGCAAGCTTTGTACCATGGGTAACGCTTGGCCACAACCACTTCTGGGGTGAAAGATCCTTTGCAGACTCTTATTTCCATTTGCTAGAAAAGCGTGGAGTAGTTTTGAAAACAAAAGGTGTAGACTTACCCTGCAAGGCTTCTCACGCTGGAGGAAGTTATTTCCAAGAATTTGGTGTTTTCTACTGTTCACCCAGAATTGAAGCAAATTTAAGTACCGTTAGAGATGCACACACCACTCCCACTGCTAAGACTTTCTATTGTACTCCTTGCCGGACTGCGTGGATTCTCAGTAAATAAGGATAAATATATATATATATTTTTTTTTTTCCCCTCACCAAAAACCTGCAGTGCTACATTGAAACCGTGAATTGGATTTGCTCTGTATCATTTCACACGTTTTTAAAAAAAAAAAAAAAGAAGAAAATGGGTCGAAAGATCTCAAACTAGAAAAGGTGACATCGCTCTCGACCTCAAAAGTCTCAACTTTCCTTTGCTAGGAACGGAGCGAGCCGCTCTCCTCAGCTGGTGGCTGGGATCCCTCCTTTCCCCCCTCTGCTTTGGGAGCCCTCACTGAGCACCCACTCCGAGGCAGACACCAGGGTCAGATGGAGATGATCTTCGTGTCAGCAGGTCACTCTGCTTCTTAGGTCTCTGCCCCGTTACTACATTTCCGTGGTAGGAGACAGCTGCCCGGAGATCAGCTTTTCAGAGGCAAACAGAAAGGAAGATAATGGAATGAATGATTTCCGAGTCATACAGAAAACACCTGCTGGGAAAGACGAGGCGTACGGCCAGGAGATGAGACACAACCGTGAGGGTTATGGACGCACAGCAGAAGCTTTGTAGTTTAGTCAGGGCTGCTTGTGATGCCAGCTGGGTTTGGACGGTCACCCTTAGGAAGGCACGTGCTCTAGTGACCTGGTTTGAGGAGGTGCTGAGGAACCCGTCCGTCCCAGCTGAAAGCAGGAGGAGATGTGAGAGCTCAGACATCCTCAACTCAGGCAAATGTGTGGGGAGCTGCACGGTAAATGCTTACACACAGCAACTGCACTACCACCGCTATCACCAATGCAGTTTCTTTTTGAAGGATATAGAAACCCTCAGGGCACTCTGACAGCTTGGAAAGATGCTGGGCAAACCCAAACCCAACCTCTCGGAGCACCTCAGACACGGCAACGTTCTGTTCTCCACAACGCTTTGGCTGGCAGGACAGCACTGCAGCGCTTCCCACAACTGCGGTGCAACCTCTGCTTCGGGGTCTTCAGGCAGAGGAGCTCTGTGCTAAGGGTCTCCATGGCATATGAAATACTTGTACTAGACTGAGCTTTTTTTTTGCTTCAAGACAATCTTTTGAGTCCTCTCACTTGGGTTCTTACTAGCCTGGCCATTATTTTGAAGTCAGTTTGCTGCTTAGTGCTGTTAAGCCACAAAAGACTCAGGAGATCAAACTCATTCCTGAGAAAGAGCTAAATAAAGATTTTGAAACATCACATTTCACCGCAAGTCTGAGGAAAGAGCAGCTTTGAGACAACAGCTCTAAAGCCCCAGCAGAACTCAGGCAAGCTCGCTCTAGCCCCTAAATACCAGGTGGATAAATAACCCAGGGCTGCTGCTCTGACTGCTCCCTGCTGATGCCAACTGGTGATCGTGAAGGGAGATTTGGGGTAAATTCTAAAAGCTATTTTGGAAACAGAGCTTTACTGGAGATGCAAGTGCCCTCTCTTCCTCATTTATGTCCAAGATGTCCACCAGACACCTCATGCAGGTCCACCTTTCCTCACAGCTCTCCGACACAGACCCACCATCCCCATCGTCTCTCCAAAACTGGGCTGCGAGGGGATTTTGCCAAGATCTAAAACCCAGGGTGGTGAGTTCAGACACTCACATCACACTGCACATCAGTGAGCTTTGCACAGCCCCACAGCCCCTCTCCTGCTCCCCCATCTGCTCAGCTCTCTCCCTGGGAAAGGTGCAGCAGCCGCTGCCTGCCAGGAGCTGGTCGGGGTCCAGGACGCAGCTTTGCGATGAGGTGAGTGGAACTTCATCTGTCAGGAGAGGGGGTTTGCTGCCACGGTGTGGAAGTCGCGGCGCCTTCACTAAAGGGTCTTAAAACTGCTCAGCAAATGGAGTGAGTCCCTCACCCTGGAGAGGTAGGTAAGTGTGTCCTTGTCCTGTACATGGGGAAACTGAGGCAAAGAGAGGGAGCAAGTCAGGGAGAAGCAGTCCTGGGGCAGGAGTCCTGCCTCCCAGCGCTGTTATTCATCAGATCATCCTCCTCCTCAGTTTCATCTCAGTGAGGTTTGCAAATGCAAGTGAAGGAACCAAGGGTAGGACCATGGACGAGGTCATGAACCACTGTATGGCATTCCCAGACCTGTCCCGGCTCTGCTCCAACCTGTGCCAAGTGCCCTGCGGTCTCATGCAAACAATTCCCAGTCATAGTCGGGAATTAAAAGCTGCTTCTACTGAGATACACAGAAATGGGGATGTTTTCCCAGAGGAAAAACACGTGCACTTGAGAAACAGCCAGAAAAGGCAAAGGTGCCCATGGACACAGGGCCACCTCTGAGTGAAATCCACCCTCTCAAGGACAGAAGGTGACAGATGTTTCAAGATCCCTATAGCCCTCAGCGTGCAATGGTCTGTAGACTAAAAACAAGCTTTGGGATGGGCAGCAGACTGATTTCAATCACACTTCTCCCTTCAGCAAAAAAAACAGTACAACTGCTGGAACCCTGCTGACCACAGCAGAGCTCCGTCTGCTTTACCAGACCTCTGACAGCGCAGCATCCAGCCTCTCTCCAACACCTTTCCTTCCCACCACGGGGCTAAAAACATGTGCCTTTAAAGCTTAACCTCTCTGCCAAGTGAGGACTACGCCCAGAGCTCACGAGAAGTTTGGTGAGTGGAAATGCAAGACTACAAGGGGAAAAATAAATCCTACAAGGGACTGAAACACAACTAAAAACTGCACCTCATCTCCGAGAGGGGACAGAGCTCACGCTGGGAACGGTCACACCCAGCCCAAACCAGTGCTCCCATCAGAGCAGGCGTTTCTGCTCCAGGCTTTGAGGGGAGAGATAGTGGGCAGGGATCCCCGTGAGGAAATCTAGTGAACGTGTGTTATTTGCAGACAGCATCACAGTGGTTAGTGTCGATTCGAATGGCAGGTAAGAAGAGGGGCGAGTTCACTGGAACAGTACGCAGCCGTGGCTCAGTCGGGAAGAAGAGGATCTAGGAGGAGGGAGCGTGTGCACCGCAGAGACAAGAGGTCTCCATCAGTCCAAGGATAAGAAGGTGAAATAGAAAAAAAAACAACAAGAAAACAAAACAAAAAAAAAAGGCCTGGGGAATGTCACGTTGCCCCAGGGATTCACAGTGCCAGAGCGAGGGGAAGAGACGTGAAAACGGCAGGCGACTGGATCCACGTCTCCAACTCCCCCAGCCTGCATCCCTCTGCACCTCCCACCTCACGGGTGTCTAACAGCGCGTGACCCTTGTTTCCGAGTAAGGAGAATTCACAGTGTTCAGCAGTGATCAGGTACAAAAGCCAGTTTAAGTTTACAGTCTCCTAAGCGCTGCTGCCTTTGACGTGGCGCCTACGCGGGGCTCAGTGCGAGCAGCTGGAGGAAGAGGGAGTTTAGAACAGCAGACAGATCAGATCGCAAAGGCACGGTTAGACTGGGCGGGTGGACACGGGGTGTGTTTGCTTTAGAAGATAGTGGTCTCATACTTAGTGCTGAGGGTCCGCTTGGAGTCCTGTTTGGGGTCCACGACCCAGGAAACGCTGGCATGAGACTGGGAGTCTTGGTCCACTTCAGGGGTCTCCAGCTAGAAAATAAGGAGAGAAAGGGCACGTTAGGTCACTTGTGCTTCTGGGACAGGACGAGCTGGGATTCAAAGCACAGAGGCTGCTGCTCTGCCTAATGCCCATCCCAAAACGCGCATGTCTGCGGGGAAGCAGCTCTCACTAGGGAGGGCATTTGAGTCCTTCACAGCTAAAACATGTCTAAGCCACATCAGCCTCAACCCGGCACCCTGAGATGACTTCTTGAGTTAGGCCTGCAAGGCCCTGTTACTGTTAGTGACAACTTCACTGCATCTCACAAACAAGCAGGAAAAAATCAGCGCTATAGAGATGGCACTATTAAAAACCAAACCAAAACAAAAACCAAACGAGGCAGAGGGAGAGAGAGGGAGACAGCTCTTGGCAAGTGAGCTTCCACGTGATTTACTCTCCTGACCAAGCAAGGCTCTTTCATCTTGTCCTCCTAAATCAGGATCCTACAGGAAGGTTAACAACACCAGAAAGAGCAACGCAGTTAGTTGAGAGCTGCCACTCTCCATCAACGAGGGTGGATATGAGATGTTTGTCCTTGGGTTTCATCTGAGCCCCATGACACAGCCCTGGAACGGGTGGGGAGGGAAGAGAGCGGCGAGGCAGGACACGGGATCACAGCAGGGGACGCGGGAAGCGGGGGCAGCGGGGGCAGTTTGTAATGGGAGATGGCAGGAAGAAGGGTAAAGACCTTGGCTCCAGGACTAACAGACTGCAGCGGCAGGTAGAAGGGGCGGTGTGTTGTACAGGTGTGACAGTAACAACAGCGAGTGTCAGGAGGGAGCGGCACCTGAGCGGGGGGAGCAAGCAGAACACAGACAAAAGGAGACATTAAAGGAAGGCAATGGCTTGTGCAGCAGTCCCTGCTCCTCAGCAGCTCCAGTCTTGGCTGGTTTTGGCTACAGGGGCACTCCTGTGCTGCAGACCACAGGTTACCTACTGATTGTACTACAGCTCTGCAGGGTTTGCATGTGGAAGCTGTGCTGGACACAGCAGGGCACTTACCCCCATCCCACCTGGGCTATTTCCACCTCTGCTCACCCTCATCCTACCAGGAGAAGCCCTAACACAGCAGCAGGACTGCCAGCAGAGCCACGGACACTGCAGTGTCAGCAGTGCCTGAAGCTACAGGTACCATGTTGGCATCTGTGCTCCCTTCATCCCAAAGCAGGAGGTTTAAGCGTGTGGTGCCCAAGAGAAATCCCAGCTCAGACCATGCAGATCACACCCGGCAGCCGCCCCCCGTGTGCACGTACTGCAGATTTCCTCATCCCGGCTCGCGGTTTAGGCACCGGTTTGGAAGATTTTGTTTCAATCGTTTCTCCTGCTGCAGCACCCAGAGGCTTCGCTCGCTGGGCTTGGAGAGCCAGTTGGTAGGCGACCTCAAACGCCTGCCCCAATGCCCCAATGTGAGGATGATCTCATACGTCAGGTTCTTTGGAGAGACCACAGAAAACACAAAGCCGTTAGGTACGTACGAGCTACCTCACCCTGCACAGAGTCCCTGCAGCTTTGTGAGGGTGGTGAGACCCTAGCCCA